ATTGTGTATTTGAGTTGGTTGCATTCGTGCTGGGGTATTAGATCTTCTTCCCTACCCTACTTATGATGTCTTGAGTTCCATTTGAGGACGAATGTTCCCAAGGGGGAGATATTACAACACCTCGGATTTGGAAAAGAAGGAAAATAATTTTTTTGGGTTGCAGGTTGCGTCTACAGATCGTAAAAGCTTCTACGGGTCATAGATGGAAACCGTAGGAAGTGGGAAAATAATTTTTCTAAAATAAAGTTCAGTACCATTTTTACGATTGACCAGTATGGTGCCTCATCTTATGTATGAATCATAGATAGGTTTCGTAGGTGAGTCCTAGACTTAGTGAAATTTTCAGACTAATAGTTGATTTCTACGGTTGACATGTAAGGACCATAGGAATACCTACGAACCGTACATGAGATCCATCAAAGATGGGAGAATTTGAAGGTTTCTCTACTTGGTCTGCGGTTGACTAGTACGGACTGCAGAAAGTTCTACGATCCGTATGTCTGAATCGTAGGTCGAGTCAACAATTATTTTTAAGGGGATTTCGGGTATTTTTCCTGATAATTTTAACTTAATACTATGTCGTTTTACCTTCTACCCTAAGCCTTATATACACGTTTAAGCCCACAAATTACCCATTCAAACTCATTCTCCTAAATTCCCAAAACTTGACCAAAACCATCCCACCTAATTCTCTCAAGTCTAAAGAAGAAGAAGAAGAACTATGGTTCCATTCAAGTCTCAAAATTCTCCTTTTTCTTGGGCTTAATGGATCAAGGTGTGCATGTATTCACCCATGGAGTCCTTTCATCCATGGGGTCCCCAAAGATTTCAAGTTTCCAATAAAAAATTTAATTGATCAAATTAGGGTTTCAATCCAATGAATGTGGGTTTCTTCCAATTATGATTGATTATGAGTAATTAAGTCTTCTAATGCATTATTTGATGTTAATCTATGATATTTAGTTGAAATTGCACTTGCCCATGCCTAAATTATGCTTTTCAATCATGATCATATGATAAGCCCATGAACTATGAATTATGAGTTTATGAAGATATGCATGTTTTCTTGAAGTTATTGTAAATGAATTGATGATGCTTTTAAAGGAAAGTATTGATGCTATTGTGAATGGATTTCTCACTTACTATGATGATCATGATTGTGAAAGATATTTCTCACAAATAAATTCACATTGGTGAAAGGTTTTCTAATCTATGTTGAACTATGTTTAAGGAGCTATTCTATATTTTGATCTTGAATATGTGGATTGATATTGATCATTGCCTTTCCCTATGTTAAATTGATATTTGAATTTTATCTATTCCGTTGGGATTTTGACTTAGCACCACGTGGGCTTTGAGGTGGAGGCTCAAATAGGGTAGTTTCTAGTAGCAACCTCTAGTTCTAAACTACATGACCCCATTGGATATGTCTTAAATGACCTAGCTAGTGGATCCACTTTAGCAAATGATGATATGTATAGATTCTACATTGGCAAGTAGTTTCTTCTTCTTTCGGTATGAGGGAAATACCAGATTCCATGATATAGCTCTCATGGTCTTATTGTCGGTTAAAGCTAAGATCCCACAAAAATGACTATATTCTCTTCGAAGCTTTTCTTATGTACTTTATGTTAATTTATTCGTCTTTATTTTATGATCTATATGCCATTTCTTCTCAAAAAGCTTATAAATGTTTCTTTATGATCATGCTTATTCGTTTTCAGTCATTTATATTATCATGATCATTTTTATGAATATTGCCTCATACTTAGTACATTCCATGTACTAATGCATACTTTTGCCGATATTGTTTCACTAATGTAGGGTCTGATACTCCTACCTCTCATACTCATGGTTAGTTGATTTCATAGACTCTAAAGATCGGTGAGTCCTCGTGTTTTGAGGACCAAGATACATTTTATCGCTTTAGGTCATTTTGTTTTAATTTTGTATGTGATGTATGGGTTAAGTTCCAATCACTTTCCTTATGATGTATTAGATGACTTTGAGACTTATGTTTTGACTTCCGCTTTTGTCAAAAACTCTTTTGAATGAAATGTTATCTTTTGAACTCTTTACTTCTATTTTCTTGAATGACGTATGCTAAGTGGCTTGTGTAGGGCCTCTCGGGATTCTATACGTCATGTTACGCCTAGCATATCATGCACTCTTTCCATGGGGCTTGTGCTTCCTTCTTGGCATATCATGCACTCTTATACTTATCCCAAAAATGCATGTTAACTTAAATATTTCGAACAGACAGGGTGTTACACCTTAGCCCCATGGTGGGTGTCAAACTGATTAGTTCCAAAAATGTACAGTTGAATTTATACGCGAGGTTCTAAGCATAAGAAATAATGTCTTAATTCTTAGATAAATGATTAACAACTTTAACAAGTTGGGGAATGAATCTGATACTATAAGTAACTAAAAGATTAAAATAGTATGTGTTAGCTTGATTTCGATGATATCGGTATTGGAGATATCTCCGTGCAAACCAAGCTAATGCAATAAGTTGATGAGATAAATTATAAAATGGACAGGAAAGATAATGGTAGAGGTCGATTTCATAATAGCTAGTGTTTTAGTTATCTTTTACCCTATACACTAATTAGGCAAGAGTTGCCAAGAAAAATTGATCTACTATATTACTTATGTTCCTCCGGACATATGTGCAGCAGTGTCTTTTCAATTTTGGTTAAGACACAAATTATTTTATTTTGGTATTTAAAAGGAAAGAACAAGAAGATATATTTACGATTATTATTTTCTGAATTTTGATTAATGATTTTACAAACATTTTAATATTTTTTTCCCTAATTATCCCCAATTTTTTTAAAAAAAAAAATCTACTCAAGTTGTGTAGATTATTTTTTCTTATTAAGATCTAAGAAATTAATGGAACAAAAAAAGAACAAGAAAATCACTACACCAAACCAAAAATAATGATGGTTATAATTTAAGGGATCTTTCTTTTTTCTCTTTGGGTGAATTAATTTCCTAAGAACAAAGTAAGTTAATGAAAGGTTAGAGAAAAAAATTACAAAAATTAGAGTGTTAGTTGCAAAATGAATGGAAAATTAAAACCTAATCTATTTGAACTTAAAGACTAGAAAGAATACTTTAAAATATTTTTAATATTTGGATATAATAAAATGATTAGTTTGTAAATCTAATGAAATTTTTCGTAACTGTGTTAAGCATGACTAAATTTACTAGTTTTTATATAATATTATATAACAATGTTAATGTGTACATAAACACCTCATATATGCTATTACACACTTTTATAAAAGATTAATCCAATATTATAGTAAATATATAATATTGTATGATATTGTATATTAGGTATATCACTATTACAGAAAAAAATTGATTATGCAAGTATAAATTGAAAATTAGTTACCCATCTACAATATATTGTGTTTGTATGTATATTTTTGGAAAATAAATGTGTTGGCTTTTAAAGTAAGTTTATCTTAGAAGCATATTTGTTACAACTAATCTTCCTTTTCCTATTTACAGAAAACTTCTATAGGAAAAATTACTAATATTTTATTATTATTTGTATATAAGAAATTAGAATAAGTATACACGCTATCGTCAAACAAATGTGTGTTTTTCAGAATTACTATATAAGCTTGAGAATACTTTTGTCATATAACTTATTTTATAGCTTTTGGCATTTTTCTTCTTGAAATAGAAATAAGCACACATGTTACTATCAATGCGTGTGCTTCCTGGAATTACTATATAAGTTTGAGGGTACTTCTGTCATTTAACTTTATTTTATAGCTTTTGACACTTGTTTTTTCTTTAGTTATTTTTTGCATAGTTTGTAGATTTTTCTTCTATATTTTTAAGAAATATGACTAAGCACACATGTTACCGTTAACGTGTGTGCTTTTCGGAATTACTATATAAGCTTGAGGGTAATTTTGTCATTTAACTTTATTTTATAGCTTTTGACATTTTTCTTCTTGAAATGGGAGTAAGCACACGTGTTACCGTCAACGTGTGTGCTTCTGGAAATTACTATATAAGCTTGAGGATACTTTTGTCATTTAGCTTTATTTTATAGCTTTTGACATTTTTCTTCTTTATTTTTGCACTAATTATTTTTTTCATAGTTTGTGGACTTTTCTTCTATATTTTTTAATTATTTTTTAGAAGTTTGAATTAAATTAAATTAAATTTGTATTTGGCCATACATTTCGCAAAATATATTTTGAATTTGAATGTACTTTTACTAGATATGATTTATACATTTAATTTCTAAAATTAACAAAATCATTCAATACTAATTTTTAGTTTAAAATATACATATTTAAAAATTACATAAAAAGTGCAATAAGTCATTATAATTGACAATTCCAAATACTTTAAAGATATATGAAAAATTATGATAAAATATATAATGTAAAATGTATAATCAAATAACTTCATAAATTCATATATAAATAAAAATATATGGAATAAAGTAGGGCATTGAATGGGAAAACGAAAGTACAAGTAATTACTTTTTGTTATAAAATAACTAGCTAACAAACTAATATTAATAAATTAAATTAATCAGAAGAACAAACAAAGGGAGAGCATAATATATTCCAAACTTTTCTTATATCTTCCTTTGTGAATGAAAGTAATGGCTATTTATAGCCAATGATAAATATACAAACCAACACTTGGCTATTGAGAAGTTATCCACTTGGCCAAGTGATGACACCCCTTAAATGGGTGCCCCACATGGCATCCATTTAGTATGTCAAGTGATGACAATTAAAGGGGTAGCCCACATGGCATCCATTTAGTTTTACAACACTCCCCCTTAGATGTCCATGTAAAAAGAAAAGTTGAAGGAACAAATATATATATATAGACATTCATAAGACGCATTTCTTGCTGCCTCACTAAAACTTTCTAGGAAAACCCAGTGGGACAAAATCTAGACTAAGGAAAAAAAAGTGCAGCGCGTATTTTACTCCCCCTAATAAAGACCACTATTCAGATGCAAGTCTTCGCATTCCAATCTTTTGCAGCATCTTCTCAAGGGTTGAGGTTGGTAAAGATTTGGTGAATAAATCTGTTGGATTATCACTTGAACGTATTTGTTGTATATCAATATCACCGTTCTTCTGTAGATCATGTGTGAAAAATAATTTTGGTGAAATGTGTTTCATTCTATCTCCTTTTATGAAGCCTTCTCTTAGTTGAGTTATGCAAGCAGCATTGTCTTCAAAGAGAACTGTAGGTACCTTGACATCACACTTCAAACCACATCTTCTTTGGTGAAATGTATCACTGATCTCAACCATACACATTCTCTACTTGCTTCGTGAATAGCTATTATCTCAGCATGATTTGAAAAAATAGCGACAATAGACTGCTTTGTAGATCGCCATGATACAGCAGTACCTCTGTATGTAAATAAATAGCGTGTTTGAGATCGAGCTTTATGTGGGTCAGATAAATAACCTGCATCTGCATGACCAACAAGATCTGCACTATCTTTGTTAGTATAAAATAGACCCATATCACTAGTCCCCTTTAGATATCGCAATATATGTTTAATTTCATTCCAATATCTTCGTGTAGGGGAAGAACTATATCTTGCTAACAAATTAACAGAAAATTCTATGTCAGGTCTCGTAGCATTAGCAAGATACATAAGTGCATAAATTGCACTAAGATAAGGTACTTCAGGACCAAGAGGTTCTCCATTCTCTTCTTAAGGTCGGAATGGATTTTTACTCACTTCAAGTGACCGAACAGCCATTGAGTACTTAATGGATGTGCTTTATCCATGTAAAATCGTTTCAAAAATTTCTCAGTATATGCAGATTGATGGATGAAGACCCCATCTACTAAATGTTCAGTTTGTAGACCAAGACAAAGTTTTGTCTTTCCAAGGTCTTTCATCTCAAATTCTTTCTTTAGATATTCAATTGCCTTTTGAACCTCTTCTGGGGTTCTAATGAGGTTTATGTCATCAACATAAACAACAAGAATAACAAACCCTGATATTGTTTTCTTAATAAAAATACAAGGACAAATTGCATCGTTTATATAATCTTCTTTTATCAAGTACTCACTGAGGCGATTATACCACATGCGCCCTGATTGTTTTAAGCCGTATAATGAGTTTTGTAATCTGATTGAGCACATTTCCCGAGATTTTGAACTATATGCTTCAGGCATTTTAAGTCCTTCTAGAATTTTCATATAAATTTCATTATCAACTGAACCGTAAAGATAAAGGGTAACCACATCCATTAGATGTATTTCAAGATTTTCATGTACAACTAAATTGATGAGATATCGAAAAGTTATTACATCCATAACCGGTGAATATGTCTCTTCATAGTCAACACCGGGTGTTTGAGAGAATCCTTGTGCAACAAGGCGTGCCTTGTATCTTACAATTTCATTTCTCTCATTTCATTTCGCACAAAAATCCATTATAGCCAACATATTTTACACCATTTGGGCTTTGGACTACAGGTCCAAAAACATCACGTTTAGCAAGTGAGTCTAATTCTGATTGAATTGCCTCTTTCCATTTTGGCCAACCACATCTTCGTTGACATTCTTCGACAAATACAGGTTCAAGATCCTCACTGTCTTGCATAATGTTAAGTGCAATATTATATGCGAAAATATTATCCATTGTAATTTTCGATCGATCTAAACTTATTGTCACAACCCGAGTCTACACCTTGGACGTGGCCGGCACTCGAAGACCATTGTTGGTCCCCAAGCAAACCCTCATCCTGGCTGACTACAAGCGGAAGACTAACTCAAGCATGCAAAAGCTTAAAAATTGAATAAAATTCATGAAACTTAAATAGAAAGCTTTAACTCAAAAGAAAACTATGAATAAAATAAATTATTCAACTCGCCATAAAATAGGCAACTTAAGTCTTTAAATCATTTAATAAAATAAATGAATAATACAGACGTCTCAACTATACTGACTATCTATGAAGCCTCTAACTGATAAAGATGGAAGTCGGGACAAGACCCACGACATCCTGACTAAACTGAAAAGTAAATGAAATCCTCCGGAAACAAGGAGGCTCACCATAGCTAACTCGAACTCCCGGATGTATCAACGAATCTCCTGTTGATGATCCTGAATACTTGTGTCTGCATCATGAGAAAATGCAGGCCAAATGGCTCAGTTAAGTGGAATGTACGAGCATGTATGAGGAACTCTAAAGCATAAGCATAAGCTTGAAACGTAATAAAAAAGAAACATACTTACCTCTTCTCAAACTTACTCAACTGAAGGAATACTCAAGGATATTCAAAACTACTCAAACTTACTCAACTCAGAAGTACTCAAGGATAAGATACTCGACTTCAAAGATATGATACTCGACTCAAAGATATGATACTCGACTTGAAATACTCAACTCTGGATACTCAACTCATGAATACTTAACTGAACTCATTTCATTATAAAGCAGTTTAAAACAAGTGCAATATAAAGAAAAGGAAAACTATTTAAAACATGATGTTAACTCATAATCATAATATCATAAAAGACATGTCATGCTCCCTCTCAAAGTCTACTTGTGCAATGCATGAATGAAGTCTCATACCCCCATTCATACTAAGCAGAACCCCTTGAGGAACCATGCAAATACTGTTGTGGGAGTTTTTCTAACAGACAACAACCACTATGAGCCTAAGTGGTGATACAATGTCTTGCCCACACTGCCAGAACTGTCCTATACTTTGCCGTCATATAGAACTCTTAACTTAGTGGATCCACTAGCTTAACTTATGTGATCATCTAAAATTATGACCCATTAATACCCATTATGGCTACATGGTTTATGGAGACTTAAGTTAATATGAACTCGCATCCCCATATCGGTGCTCAGTACTACTCCCAAAAATATACTTAGCTCATATATTTTAAAAACAAACATCTTTCTTTGGTTTGAGATAATTACTCAAAACTTAGCTTAAAAGCTCTCTTGGAATCGATGTTCCCCTTTCTTGCTCAAATGTGAAAACATTTATAAACTTCTTTGGGAATACTTAGTTCCCTAATAGCTTTTTGAGAAATGAACTCAACTCTTTACTCTTTGATTAACTTGAAACTTGAGTCTAAAAATGAGTTTAAATCATTGTTAAAGACTCTTGAAAACTCTAAGAAACTTTGCTTTGACTTGCTTCTTAACTTCTAGACTTGACTCTTAACTTCTTTGACTTTGATCTTAACTTTCCTTGAATTGGATTATGGATTCAAGGTTCATGATCTCATGTTTATGGATGATTTCATGATGTTTATATGTACCTTAGAGTGTTAGAATCAACTAGGAAACATAGGTAGCTCACTTAGAAACTAGTACGAAAAGATGGGGGAAGAATGGGGTGAACTGGCGTCCTTGGCGCTCTAAGAGGCTTGGGGAGCCAGGCCCCAAACTTCAGAGGACAATTTGGGGAGAGCTGGCTGGCATGGCGCCCCAAGAGGTAAACTTCAAAGACTTTTTTGGGGTGCGCTGGCTGGCGCGACGCCCCACCCTTTTCCCTAGAAAATTTCTGACTTTTCTTCTTCGTTTTTCATCTCTAAACCCTCTAAACTTCCATAGTTTTTTCCCCAAACACTTAGGATCATTAGTACCCTCAATACCCAATAGATTTAACTCGAAAAAACAACTCGAAAACATGAATCAAATCAACATTAGGCATTCAACAATCAACCAATAGGAATTCAACAATGTTCTTCAAGAACTTCACTTTCTTAACATTCAAACAACTCCAATTTTGCTGAATTGAAACAAGTTTGGCATGTGGGTGAACTAACCTAACACTATGTGATCTCACATACCTTTTAGGGATTAAACCCATGGAAAAAATCTGCAACAAGATGCAAGAATCTCGACGAACGCTTGATCCTTTCCTCTTTTCTCTTCTTCTTTTCTCTTTTTGAACTCTCAACTAAACCTAGGCGTAAACTAGGATTATAAAACTGTAACGACCCTAAAAACGAACTAGTGAAACTAGAGCCTCACATGTGAGTTTGGAGTTGAGAACTTGATGAAATGATGAGAAATGACCGTGACGTCCGGAAACTAGTCATTTGAACTAGTGAGTTGTAAGGGTCAACTTTAAATGGTCATATCTTTTAGCTCAAAATGAATTAGGTGGACCTTTACCTATCCAATTAAAGGTCTTTGAGTCCTCTTTCCAACGCCACCGAGTTTGCCCAATTCCGACCTTGGAGTAAATAGTTATTCCCTAAATATTGAAGCACTGTCAGGCTGAAGAAAAGGGCGAACTTAGACGGGAAGGGGCAGAATTTTTTTAGTTAAGACTTTATGGGTCCTTAGTCCTTTTCCAAAATTGACCCTATGCTATTTTATTCTTTTCCTAGCAACTATAAGACATTTTTATGACTTAATTCCTTTCATTTAAGTCACTCCTCTTAGAATTAAAAAGAAACCCATCTCCTTTCATGTATTTCTTTCAAGTTCAAGGAAGAAGAAGGGTGAAGAACTAGGGTTTCAATTGGAGGCTTCTTTCATCTATTTTCGTGGGCTTTCTCAATATTAAGGTATGGGGACTCTTTATCTTTGATCCCTTTTCAATCAAAGAGCTAATTCAAAGTATTTTCAAAGTTCTTCAAAAATCCTAAAGTCCTAATTTCGATTCTAGCATGGGTTCTTGCATAAAAAGGGTTTTAAATGATGATTTACATTGTTATTAATGATTATTAATGGTGTTTAGAAAGATATCCCCATGAACCCATGTTTTCCCAAATTCTCTAAATTTCACCATAAAGTGGGTGTATTGATTTTGAGTAGATGATTATAAAAATTGTGTTTAGTATGATATGGGTTGTTCATATATGGTATTATATATGTGAATTGTTAAGAATCTTTATTGAATTGAAGGATGTGGGATGTTGGCCTTGAATGGGCAAAAATTGTGAATTTGTCTTCATGTTGATTATGGGCTTATGCTTAGCTTCAATGGTATAGTTGAATACCATGATTACCTATGCTTTCTATTGTGAATTGTTTGATCATGAGAATGGTGAAGGTGGCTTGGAAAGGATGGTAAGTTGACTACTTTATGAATAATGTTGAATTAGTAGGGAATTGAGTAATGTTGGTTATGGCTTTGGGGAATGGTAAGATGGCTTAATATCTTAGTATTGGTATAATTGTTATTGATTGGTTTGATCCACCTTTGGTGGAGGTGGTAATTTGTTGTATTATTGTGAATTGAGGCCATGAAGGGCATTATATAAATGTTATTATATTGTTGTATTATTATACATATATAAGGCTATATGTAAAGTCCTATATGAAGCTATATGTAAAGTTTTATGTGAAGCTATATGTGAAGGTATGATGTGAATGAGTTTTATGTGAAGCTATATGTGAAGGTATGATGTGAATGAGTTTTATGTGAAGCTATATGTGAAGGTATGATGTGAATGAGTTTTATGTGAAGCTATATGTGAAGGTATGATGTGAATGAGTTTTATGTGGAGCTATATGTGAAGGTATGGTGTGAATGAGTTTTATGTGATCTTGTGATGATCCTATGTAAAGTGGATAGCATTGTGACTTAAAGTATGACTCTCATGATGTATATATGAAATGATGTTGGATTATGAAGTATCCTTAGATGATAATAATGTGACTT